TCAACAGTCAAAGCCCATGAACGGATACAAGTAACAGGCATTACAAAGAACCCTATGGACGTATTAGGTTGTAACACAATTTTTGTTATACTTGAAGGTGAAAAATTTCGTCGTTATCTTCAAGAGTTTTATTCTCATTTCTAGATAATGGAGAGTTGTAGCTTTCTGATGTAAACATGACACACATAGAAAAACTAGTTCAAGAAATTATTAGAAACATATGGTTTTTTACAGTTTTTCAGGTTGTGCAGTCAAAAAGCTTGGTCAAATTGCCTCATATTAGCCCCAATGCTTCCGGAATCCATAAAAAATCAAAAAAGACAGAAAAGAAAAATGAGAGAACTTTCAAGAGCTAAAAAAAACTTCGGAGACTGTAGCGTCATGACAGACTATTTTTATTTTTTATGCATATTCTAAAAGTAAAAATGATACCAATAGAAATTGGATGACAAGGATGAGACTTTATCAAAGTTGTTGAAGATGTCTGAGGAAAGACGAAGAAGAAAAGCTTAAGTTACGACCTAATATTATAACAACCGTAGCCTTACGCAATTACGGTAGGAGTACGGTACGTCTTTACTAGTACAGCTAGAGAAAGCAGAGAAAGCATGCACACTTTTCTGTTCTGACATAACTTTGAGTCTTTTTTAAATGTAGAACAAATGTTGTTCAGTCAGCAGCCAATCACCGTACACTTCTTACAAATGATTATTTGATTATTGTAATTGAGGAGTAGTGCATAACAACAATTTTTTGGGTGCTGCAGAAGAAGCAGCGTTACCAGTAATACATTCAATTTTCAAAGAATTTTATATTTTCTAACGTCTATAAGCAGATTCTTGCAAGCCCATCCTGTGAAAAAGTCTCAGTCCTATTTCGCTGCGAATAAAATCCATTACATCAGCTACAATCACCCCTTTGACATAAGTTCCGTAATCTTTTCATTACAGAAAACCCTTGATTTCGCCTTGACGTCTCTCAGGGCCATAAAACACCGTTACGGAGACGCGAGCGAGAGGAGCCGCAGTTTATCGTTTTAGTGGGGAATGACAACTCGTTCGGGGCTAGCAACAATCCCGACAGCCTCATAACTTTTAAGTTTTTTGCTGGCGAGGCGCTGCCTCGGATTTGAAAGGGATTCCGTTTCAGTTTCACAACAATTCGGAGTGTTTGTGACAATCTGGGTGGAACTGTGAAAAGTCAGATTTTTTGACTCTCTGAATGACGATCTCAAAAGTACCGAAATCTGAGAGTGTTGAAATTTTGATGAAGTACATAAGCTTGCCTCCTAACTAAGTTTTTTTGTCCAAGTTCCACTGCAAAAGGTTCATTCAGAAGCGAGAAAATTGCTTCAGAAAGTGAATGCTGCTGGGGTCGCCACGCCCATCAATGTGGCTGGTCCGGAATCAATGTGCCAGAAGCTAGATTTAGTAGTATCTAGAAATGTCGGGAATTCGCTTTTCGCTTAAGAAGACCATCTTCAACATCTAATTATACTAAAGTCAGCGTCGGGCGCATTACTTTTAGAACACACATGTTGGTGGGCGTGGCGACCCCAGGAACCTCCACCTTCCGAAGCGATTTTCTCACTTCGGAGTAAACCTCTTGCAGCGGAACTTGAGCAATCATTTATTCGGGGGGGGGGGGGGGGGGGGAGTGGCTAGTATTGCAACAGAATCTCAGCAGCCTCAGGTTCGGTAGAATGGCGATTTTAACCGCGAAACCAATCGGAACCGCGTAACGAGCTGACTTAAGTGAATGAGTTCATCGACGACGCTAACGTCGTCTTTTCTTCGAGTTCTTTTGGAATTCGCTATGGGACGTAACCTTGCTATGTGTGGTGATACGCGACCGGACACCTCCCATACATCACTGACCGACATTTACGATCAACTGATCACTTCGCTTAGCGGCTGCGCGTAGCCGAGACACGAAAGCCCCTCGATCCCGAACAGTGGTGGGATTGGGGGGGGGGGGGAGAGTTATCAGCAAAAACTTACACTGTATGCAGACACGGCCAGTTCGGGTAGCGTTCGGCGAGATGTCAGCGAACCCAAAGGGACAATGGCACGAGTAGCCGACGGCTTCGTCGCGACACATCGCTCTCGGGTCACAGTCATGTTGCTTCGTTTCGCACTCGTTCACCACTGAAAAATCACATAATTCAGATGTTATGAAAATAAATTTTTCTATGAAGCAAGCGCCTTCATCACAGAAGAAAGTGAGTCTTTCATGCTCAGAAATCGCAAAAGAACTTCCGGGGCAAACTGAGCTTCTAAGACTTCAGCTAGGGTGGGGCCCACTCCACACGGCCTACGCCGCAAGGACCAATAGGAGCGTCCGCCCCGGAAGTCTTAGAAGCTTAGTTTGTCCCGGAAGTTTTTTTTGCGACTGTATGAGTAACTACGGTTCTCTAGCAAGAAAAGATTAAAGATTGCTTAGTCTGCAATAAAACTTGTACATTTTTCATTATCATTTTTCATATTTATTAGTGCCACCATTTTTTGTTCCTCGAATTTTGGTACGATTGGCCCTTTATTCGTATTTCATAATTCAAGTGGTACAACCAGAATGTAGCGATAAGTTAAAGATCTTGTAAAACTGAAAGACTAGAGAAAAGTTGAGAAATACAGAGGTTAATAAAAGCATCATACACATTATTTATTATTTATTCATTATTTAGTATTTTCAAGCTAAAAAAAGCTCCAAGTACTTTCATAGTTGCTTTTCATAATCGGCTCCTACTGTAAATAGTTTTCCCACTTTTTTTTAGTTATAAAGAAGGACCATTTTTCCACACTACAAAATGCCAGTAATCGAGTAAAAGGCAATTATATTTGGCCATGATAACATACACCTATTTTCTCAATTTATTTCCGGTTACCTGAAGGATTCTTGGTAATCAGTAGGGATGGAGTAAGCGCTTAAGTATAGGCACAATCATCACTAGAAATCAGATAGTCACTTTACCCTAAGTAAGAACAGTTTAACAAGTACTCACTTTACCAACAAAATCCGAGCTTGTAGCTTCATAATTATGCCTTTTTTGACTTAATTGTCATAGATGCCAAGTTAAGCCATTGTACTTAGTTTACCCACTATCCGCTTTCATGTGCCATGTTTTGAGCTAATTTAGTAAAGGTATCACAGCCATACGTGATTCTAATTTATTAACCTAAGATTGTCTCTTAACTGGAAATCGCGCGTTTTTTTCTAAAGTTGACGAGAGAAATTTCAAGCATTGCAACAGTTCTTAGCATGATGCACTCAGGTAAATGAAATTAGCTACACAGCTTCTTCATCTCTTTAAAAGCGCCATGGCATGTTCGCAATTTGGATCAAACTTAAAGGTGTCAGCTTCCTTACATACATTCTCATTCAAAAACCGAAATGGTGACTTAGCAGGAAATGGTCAGAACTTAACCGAGCCATTCCAGACAAGCTGTATATGACTGACTCGTCTTAAAACGGTAATTTTGAATATATGTTTATTATATACTAAGGACTATCTGGAAAAAGTTATGAGCGTTCAAATATGTATGATATCAATCGAATTTAGTCGGATACACATTTCCTTTAAAGGCAGCCTGATGGCGCAGATATACAGTTTGTTGATTCAATTGCAGGAAAGAAGCACATTTTCTAAAAACAATTGCAAAGTTTTTTGATCGACGTTTCTTTTTTGTGTGTGTTTTTTTACTATAGGGTATAGGGTCAAAGGGGACTTCATGAAACTTTGGAAAAGTCAAGGAGGACTTCGATTTGCAATTCCTTTGGTGCCAGTTCGTGCCGAGCCCTACGTAACAAGCCGCTTTCGATCGATATATCGATTTTCGGATTGCACACTGTGAAACATTCATAATCTTTGCTTTGCTTCTACTTTCAAATTTTATCCTTTCAATATGTGTGAGCAATACTTTCCCAAAAACGCATTTGCAATTCATAGGCTTGCTCCGGAATCCGTCAATTCCGCTTTTTTGTTCCAATTTAGCTTAATGGACGACTCTGCAATGGGTTTGAGTATGGTTCGTACCATTTTAGGGATTCTTTAGCAAATTGGTAAATTTTGCGAAAATTGCGTCAGAAAAAAATCTCTTTTGTGAGTGCCTGTAAGTTACAATATACTAACTAAACATTATTTATCCTAAGCATTAATGAAGATATGCTAAAAAATTCTATAACCTTGAAAGACCCCCCTCCTCCCAATAAAAGTGCTCGGCTCTTTACTCTTAACACGGTTTTCTGGGCCATCAAACTCTTTTCGTTTACGATAGAGTCGATCATGGTATTACAAATTACCTGAACGATTTGTCAATGAAAAAGTAATGAGGTTAATGGACAGCGTAAAGTAAGCCCTTCAGAGTTCAAACATTGACCTTAAATTATGCAAAATGGGATGTTTGCATTTCTCTATTGTTGCCGAGAATGGTATTGCTTGCAAAATATGCACGGTAACCTTGCGAAAGCGAAAATTTTGCACAGACTATTTACAGAAGAAAGATTCCGCAAGTGCAGATCTTCTTGGAAGCAACACAAGGGAAGGTTTACAATGATTTTCGAAGATATCTTCATAAAAATGTGTTCAACTTTTGCAGATGATGCTTAGCTGGGAGATTTAATTTCTAGATTTGTCCATTCCCTATCACCTCATTTTATCAGGTATGAATATTGATTGTTCTACTCTTATTTCTGAAAAGTAAAGAATTATGATTGGCATAATACAACGAGCTGAAGTCCCTAATGTGAAAGGCATATCTGCACGATGTGATTGGCAAGCTAATACCGATTTTAACAAGTACAGTCATCTAAGGTTTACATCAGCTACTTCTAAGTGGTCGTCGTCTCAGGCTCTTGCAATTCGGTGAAAATCCACCAAAACCATTTTTCAATTCGTCAAATTTCAATACTCGCATTGCAGTTGGAGCTTCTTACTTCTTTCTCAAATCACCGTGATTCTAAATCAAGTTACCCTTTCCGTTAACACACTTGGAAGCTCTTACGACTTCTTCTAACTCTTAATTTTCACTTTATTTTTCTCAACTTTCTCAAGGATAAAACACTCGATTCAATGTGCAGTAAAAGGGCAGTACTCACATGGAACACACTTCCTTCCTGGTCGTTTCAGTCCCAACGGTGAAGTGTCCGCAAAGCCAGGCACACATCGGCAAGTATAGCCTACAGTTTTGTCGATACATTTCGCATGAGGTGAACAGTCGTTGTACTTGGCATCAGAGCACTCGTTCACTACTGAAATAAGCACTAATTCTTGATTTCGGTAAAGATTCTAAAGTAATTTTCATGCAATCATTCATACCCAAAAAACAGGATAAACTAGGTAATTTTAAAAATTGGGCGATTTTTTGTTGCTATGCGCATAAGCGCATAATAGAAATCGACTAAGTAAGGCACATCTATGGAGCGCATTTTGAAGTCACGCAAAGCCGTTGAGAGTACAAGAAGTTATAAAAACTTCATTTTAGTGCGACAGAACTGCCGGATCCACGCGTTAGTAACGATTAATGGTGTTTTTTTAAAGCTATGCCACCCTTTCTTCTATCTTAGAAAACGCAGAAACTGATTTGCACACTCTTCTTTGTAATTCGTAACATTTGTAGAATTTTGCATGCATTTTGATGATTTGTCTCCAAATTTTCATTCCCATTAACTTTACTGCGAACCAAAGTGCAAAGTGTAGGATCTACAGATGCTCAGAATCTACAGAAAGTTCAAATGCATATGCAAATCTATCTATGAAATAGATTAAAACTTCATCGAATCATTGGGTGATACTACAGTAAAAGAAATCATTAAGTTTGCGATTTACTTAGCACTTTTGGTGACAACAATCTCTTCTCTAAATTTATCCAACATTTGTTATCAATCTCTTGTTGATGCCCATAAGGCGCAAGGTTTACTTTGATTTATGTAAAAGATAACTACAGTGACAGCATATGATTAACTACCGCGTTTAACTGAAATGTGTGACGAATCACCTTTTCAAACCACTTTTCGGACTCAAGTTAGACGCTGTCACTCCCACGTACAAAAAGTATACAGTACGAAACTTTTCTTACGCTAGTGTAATAGGTCACAAGGTCTAGGAAAATTAATCGTCCAAGCTGAAATTGGCCATCAACCCATATGTGGGAAACTTGGAAACTGCGCTAAATGTCACACCCGAGGGGAATCTTAAAAGGAAGGGATAGAACAGGGGCTAACTGTGAAAAAGGGAAAATGGTAGATCCCAAAATGTAGAATTTTTTGAGCGGTAAAAAATCAGTGCAAAATCAGTTTACATAGGATCAGAACGATACAATCTACTTGTAGCTTGAAAATTTTCATCAATATTCAATATATTCAATCTCCATGAGTGAAAAAAAAGTGTTTTGCGGCTACTGTGTCATAAAAAATCTCTTTTATCTATCCTAATGGAATGACTTCTCCTAAGTACGTAGTCATCAGAATGGCTCCATCGGGCATTTGGGCTGCCTCACAATTTTTTCAAATAGGAATTATCCCAGCTAATGACATAAAATCTCATCTCTGTTTATACTGTAGTCATTTGAGAGGCAAACCTTGACTTGCTCCAAAAAGCTTTTTCAACAATAACAAATCCTAAAGCGAAAAAAAACAGTGGAACCTTTAAAAACGCGACATTAGACTATCGCAACTTAGCTTGAAATCTTGCTCAATCAACGATATTTAGACTCCTTTTAGAACTGCGAGTGCCCAACTAACATTTCATGCATTTTCGTCCAGGTTTCTTCACTGGATCAGCCGAGACGTCCAGGTAACCTTCTCGACATAAACACTCGTAAGATAACGGATTATCCATGCAAGTAGCGGCCGGGTCACAATCGTTCAACGTCTTGTTCTTGCATTCGTTCACCAAAGCTGTAAAGAAATCGCTTATTTCGTTAACGATCCAGTCAGTCCCTCCACCCCCCTCCCCCCCCCCCCCCTCCCCTTCCCGCCTCCAAACGACCATTTTAAAAAGCGATGATTAGGTCGTATAACTCACGAACGCATGTTCCATTGAAGGGAGTGCTTGACGGTGGACATGCTGACGCATCGTTTTCTGAAAAGCAGAAAACTCTTTTGGAGCGACTTACTAGAGCGATTCCGAACTCACGCTTTGAATTCGTAGCTGGACTCTTTTTCGGGAGGCCAGATTCCGGCTTGCTGTCGAGTTGAAAACTTTTTTGGATGATTGTCGTGGTAGGGTTCTTCTTAGTTGTTGTGGTAAGGCTCGTGCTGATTGTGGTAGCGGGAAGTCTTGTAGATGTTGTAGTTTTGGTTGTGGATTTCGCCTAAAAATGGAAAATCGAAAGGAATAGATAGTTGGAAAAAATGGGGGGGGGGGGCAGTAGGAGGGGGGAGTGCGGCAGTGCGGCAGTATCGAGCTCAATACGCTATTATGCGCTAGCGTATTGAGCTCGATAAATTTTCTAAGGGTCAGCTTTCATTTGATATTGGTGCGCCATTATTACTTTTACTAAGTTAAGATATTTCAGCTTATCTGCAAACAAGTAAATTCGACATCGTTTTGCATTTAATCAGTTTAATGGCCCAAAGGCCCACCTAAGATGTTACAAGTACATTTCATCAACGTCTGATATAAATGCAGCATCCACTCAAAACTTAGGCTTCCATAAATTGTCGCTCTGGGCCTTTCCGTGGGCCTAATTACACTTATGAAATGCAAAATGTAAAAAAAAACCCAAAGACCGATCTCCGGGAACCTAGTCCTGAAGCCGTGGGCACTTTCAGTCTTTGGATGGGCGCAGCTTGGGATGGGATGGGCGTGGCTTGCAGCACTTTCGCGGGTTCCAGGTCCATTTCCCCCATTCAGAGCCCACACTAGAAGATCGGACCAACGCATATGCCTCTGTCTTATAGCGTGCTTCTAGACTAGGTTCATCGGAAGTATCGTCGAGTCATTTATAACTTAATATGTGAGCCTGCACAGAAAGTATTTCAACGGACGGCACCTTTATCGGTAAATCCTAGATGTAACTTCTTCTAACGTCTTTTGTAAAAGAGCACACTACCAACTAATACAATCGAACCAAAGGAGACAAGGAAACAAGGTGAAATCACTGGAAAGAGGAAACAAGGTGAAATCACTGGAAAGAACAGGTTCTAATCCTATAGGTTCGTCAAATAGCGCACATGGTGTGCAGCAAGCATATTAAGTTATGAATGACTCGAGTTAGCTACAGATGCATTTTTCAGTGTGTATTTTGCGCCACCAATTGAAAAAATTTGGTTTGGCGCGTGTTTATCGAGTCCTGCAAATCAAAGTAGTCAATGCAAAGCTTTGACCTTCTCCTCTAAAGTGCAGGTACCAAACAGTCATGAAGAAGAGTGTTCCCAAGATGTTGGATATAGTCAAAAATGCCTTATCCTTCAGCAAAGCCGAGAAAGGAAAACCTATTTCTCTCTATACTGAGCTGAGATTCGGAAGCAAAGAATGCCTAGACTGCCCGTGCTTGTAACTTGCACAGATAAAAGAATAAAATTAGGTACATTTTACGCTAGAATAGATATAACCTCTCGATTTCGTTTTTTTTCAAATTTCACCAAACCGTTTGTTTCCCTTAGCGGTAATTGAAGATTTGCTGCATCGGAAGGAACATCAAAAACCTGCATTTTTGCTTCCCCTTTCGTGAAATATTCCCAGCTTGCAATTGTCGGCATACTTCAACTTACTGTGCTAGCGGGAACTTCTCTAGTAATCGGCGCTCTTCGTACTTCTGTCGTCTGCGGAATAGGTCGCGTCAACTTTGCGAGAAGACCTTAATAGCAGTAATAATTTTTTAAACATCGTAAAACAAGCAATGAAAGTTATTTTCCCACCTGAAGCATTGCTGAACCGCAGTTGTAGATCTTCACGAGCTGCGCTGCAGTTGGAGAGTGGCTCCTTCATGTAAGCCTCGACTTCCTTTGTTGGAATGCATCTTGAAGCTCCAGGTAGCCGAACACTGCCTCGTTGGCACACGCATCTCCAGGATCCGCCGACAACCTCAAAACAATTTTTAAATAAAGATAAAAATCAAAGAAGTTTAAACTAGGAGGGTAAAAAGAATAGTTGTCTAGTTACTTTGCGAATATCGACATCTGTGAAAAACAAGCCAAGTATACAGTAATGCAAGTTAAGTTACAAATAGACATGGAAGAAAGATACGAATGACTCAGACAATTTAGCGGAACTTCCGCAGGACAAGAGTTTGCAGCGGTTCCGCAGCATTTTCTTATCCATTGAAAAAATGGAGGCCCCAAAACTCGGCGTTTTTTGCAAGGAATTGATGTCAAAGTCGGAAACCTGAACTTACGCAACACTTTTAATAAAGCGCTGCGGAAACGCTGCAAAATTGCTGCGGAAGTTCCGGGTCAGTTGTCTGATTGTGAGTAATTTCTTGCGGCATTTCAGATTTTGAAGGGTGAGTCTCATTGCTAATAGCGAGCTAGTCTATTGACAAAATACTTTGCCTAATTTGTTTAAGTAATAACATATTGAGTTATCGATATTTTACTAATTTTTCAGATAATATTTTTGTTTAATTATAGTAATTTTGCAAGCCTGAAACAACCATGTTTGCACTATTTCTTCGAATAAAATTGAGAAGCAAATACAATCACCATTACATTTTTTATCCAGTAAAAGGAAACAGCAAAATTTCTTAGATTAGAGCAAACGTTTGAACTCACAATGCATATTTCACCAAGTTTTCCATGGCAGAGGCTAGAATCCGTGCACAACTGAAGCTCTCCAATGAGTACAGAGTTTGCCCCTCGCCTTCGTCTTTTTCCGTCCGGACAGACATCACCTAAAATTTACAGTATAATCTGAGTTCATCAAAAATCTTTTCAATCTTACTATGGGTAACATTGAAGAGTTCATCGCTGCCATCTTCACAATCCCAAAAATCGTCTCCAACTTGCTTGCGTGACACACAGCGTATCTTTCCACAACCACATTCCAGTTGCGAAGTCGTACATTCTGAAGAAGTTTTTATTTAGAATGAGTTTGCCTCTAGCTTATTTGAGAAAGGATTGTTGACTTCTTAGACGAACAACTCCTACTTTTCAAAGGCATTTAGCGTTTCTAAATGATTTTTGCATATAATTACGTTGGTTACGTGAAAAACATGTTTTTCATCCAGTGAATTTATATTATGGAGAATCTCTAATTATTAGGGATGGGGTATTGTAAAGAATAAATCTTGGCAATTCAGCATTTAAAGATTTTCGAACTTCTACATGCCTAATAAGCTACGTACATTGCTATTCTGCCATTAAGTTCATCCACTAAACTTGCTCTGCTGGTTCATCAGCAGTAATGTTCATTTTGCCAAATCTCTACTTTCCTACCCTAACTGAAGCTGTAGCCACCCAAAATAGTCAAATACAGTGGATGACTGAGGAGAGCCGAGAAATTGTCGCAAAATTCATGAGAATAGACGGGTCGCGAAATTTTTGAAAGTTACTTACATGAGTTATAGAAATGTGCAAGCGACTTGTTTATTTTTGTAAACAATTAAAATAATTTTTAAAATTTTTTAAAAATTCAAATTAGCCTTATAAAAAAATTTTCGGGGGCGTGGCTGAAAACACGCCCCCTTTTTCCAGATTTTAGGGGTTGGGGGCCCACAAAAATTTTTAGAAGCCCCCCTAAAAAATTTTGCCGCGCCCCCCCCCCCCGAGCCGAAATCCTGAGTACGCCACTGCCCAAATGATATAAAAAATTTGCGAGTGGATTGTTTTCATTTATAAATCATTAAAATAATTCTTGAAGTTTATTCAAAGTTTGAATTACCTTTTTGAAAAAGTTTTCTGGGGGCTGGCTACCGCCACTCTGCATTCTTCCAAAATTTTGAGTTCAAGAGTCCACTAGAAATTGGAAGGTGACCCCGAAAATTGTCCGGAGAGCTTGACTAATGTCACCCTACTCCCCTTCCTCTCCTTCGGATTTAATAAGTCTGACCCCCAATGTCAAAGAATAAAACTTTCGCTGCAGACAAAACTTTCTGGGGAAGAATGAGACCAATTCATTTTAATCCAAGAATCACTGGCAAAAAATGCAATGAAGTAAGATTCTGTTGAGATTCCTAACGTAAGTCGCTTCTACCAGCAGTATGAAGGCACTTTTGAGGATAATTCATAGCTACCGCATTTACCTACAGAACCTCTTCTACTTCAGCACTCGGGGCTGTACAGCCTTAGCACAACTCGAAGAAATGATGGAATCACATAGATGAAGTATAAGTAGAAAGCACTTTCATACGCTAAAGTTCATTGCAAAGGAAAAACTTGTTTCTTTAAGTATTCTACTGCTGCTTGGTAGCCTCATGGAACCTTGCATATGCGCTTCAGAGTTTTTTTTTTGCTAAGTTCGCAGCTCTTATCAACAAAGAAGAATATAGTCATCGTACTTCAGTTCAACTTCGTTTTCAATTGCTTGAAAAAACAAAAAATGAATTGTGTATATAAGCGAATGAGCCATCAAGTGTGCAAAGCAGTCATGGCTTCTTCCTATGTCTTGTTCGCTCTCCTCGTGGCTTTGGCACAAGTGTGAGTACAACTCTAGCTCCAAACCACCAATCTTGCAAATAAATCTTCAACATAAATAGCAGAAACAAAGAATAGAAGTTCAGTCTGGGCTTGAGCGAAATGAATAAGAATGCTCTAGCTTTATTTTTGATTTTAAATGTGTTTGCTTTTCAGCTCCAATGCATTCTACCCATACGCTTCAATCTATGGAGGTAAGCAGTTAACGGAAGACGAAAGGCAGTGTCCAGGTTAAATCTAACCCCCTCCGATTGGCGTCGATCCTGAATGTAGACCCCACGAGAGGGACATCTGCGTTGGTCCAGTCCTTTAATGTTGTCTCTGAATGGAGATAAGGGGCCTGGAAACAAAATGCTATCAGACCCCGCCCAGATCCCATCAGACTCCGCCCACCCATGTACTGAAAGCCGCCCGCACATTCAAGACAAGTCCTCAGGAATCGGATTTTTTGGAGATTTTAGATTATTTTATTTTATTTTATTTTATTTTATTGTTACATAGGGTGTCCCCCATGTATATTATGTATATTATTTATGTATATTTGACTTCATAACTGTAATGAGCGCCACGGAGAGACCCCGGAATGGCAAAAACATGGAGGCAAAATTTTGAGTGGACGCTGCCTTTAAGATTTGCTTTTTATTTTTACAAGATCCTTGCAGCCATATTAGCATTTGCAATTTAGGTTTCCCAGGTTATTATGGTTTTGGGTCTCCATTCGGTTATGGTTACGGATATCCTTACGGCTACGGCTACGTAGGTCTTTTTTTACTTATTAATTTAGGCTGTGGATTTCTTACAAGGAAAAGTTTCATGAAAATCCTGGTAGATTTTTCAGCATGGTCTCTATCCTCGTACTGCTGTTCGCAATCTCGCTAGAAGCTATCATAGAGGTAAATTTCGAGTAAACTGCTTAGTGACAACAAAATGCTGATTTTCAGAGACCGGTCATCTTTCCTCGACAAATATGATCTCTCCCATTCACCATCGTAAGGAATGAAATATATGGCATTGCCCGGAATGCAGTCTGCCTTCCTCGCTAGTTTACTAATACTATAGTCATGCGAATAAAGGAATTAAACTTCCTAGTCATCGCCTACCAAAAACGCATTTGTCATGGTACAAATGAAACAAGACAGACTAGACAGTCTACATAGAACGAGAAGACGCTCAAAAATTTCACTTTGGAAGGTATAAATCGCCGGTCGCTTTTCTTTTTCCTTGGTTCTTGGTTTTTTCAAAGTTTATCTTCCTTCACACTTGCGCTAAGCAACCTGCTATTGGCAGACTATACTTTACTCTCACCTCATGTTGTCTTATAACAATCATTTATTGGTCCTATTATGTTGAAAATCGCGAGAAATTTATAGGAAAATCGAAACTCTTCTAAATGTGTCAGTCCCAAGTTTTCCGGCTATTTTTGTTTTTCTTTTCTAATATCGACAAAGTAGGCCAGGTTAGCAATTTTTACGCCCGAAAAAAATTGCTTGTATGACCCATATCGTTCTAACAATGGAAAAGGAAAGCCAAAAAGTAGCTCAAGATCTACCTACAATAATACAATATTGAGGTGAGCTAAATCATCAAAGAAACCATACAAATTTGCACATGTACCTTGTGTATAGCTAAAGCGACAGCTCATGTAATTTATGCTCAAAAATTCAGCCAAATTTATCTCAGTTGCCCCCCTTCGTAGATAGCAGTGCGCTTAAATAAGTGCCAAATTTTTTTTTCAGCACACATCTGTGAACATTTTGGAATCAGCGGATAATTGAGTGAAAGTACATGAAACCTTTTGTTCATAGATGAACGCGAATAAATGTTTCCTATCACACTGAATCCTAGCTACCGTAATCAGCTTTCTAATCCATCTAATACCAAGAAGTAGCAAAGTAATTTTGACGCCTAATTGCTGCACGATGGGAGTATGTAATTTCACCATAAAACATGCATAATCAGGAATAATCGCGATCTGCATTGGTGTTTCATAGGGCAAGAAAATGGATGAAAAAGGAAGAAGATGACCTACGCTTAGCCTCATGACAGCGTTGTGGTAGCGCAGATTGAAATAAAAAATAAATTACCTACCTTCATCGCTCCCGTCAGCACAATCTTCGACGCCATCTTGAAATTTTCGTAGAGGTATGCACTTGGAAGCATCTGAGCAGGGAAATTGACCCGGAGCGCATGCTGAAATCCGGTGTGAAAGTCTATTTACCAAAATTTTAGACACAAAAAACGTTACTATGTGTGATATTGCACTCTTTTCCCCTATAGACAACAAAAAAGGATTTTTTTCAAAGTGTATGTGCGTCCTACAATAAGAATTGGTATCTTGAACATTTGACAACCGAGAAAAGCGATGTTTCGGAGGTTCAAAAATCGATAGAATCGATAATTTTGTAATCAATGGATAAAATTAGTACTTTACAGCCTCTGCAAATCCAAATCTGCATTTTGAACGTTCAAAAATGACATCGATATTTTAGAAGCTCCGAAATAGATAAAATCGACATTTTGGAGCTTCAAATTATGTATTGTACATCGGTATTTTAAAAATCACAAACGTTCCGATAATCCTACGAATTTGAGAACTCGCGAATCAATAAACAATATTTCGAGCCTCAGTCGATAATCAATACTTTGGAGCTTTGAAGTATGTACCTCACATCGGTTTTGACAGCTCAAAGCGCTTTAATTTGAAAAATAGTGCGTACTATGCATCTCGATCAATAAAAAATTCTAAAATTCTTGCCAGATGAAATAAACTGATTCTCAACTCGAAAAGGACCCGATTATGAACGATTTCACAAAATTACAGGGTTTTTATTAGACTGGCCCGTAAGTTCCTTCACACCATTTTATGAATTTATAACTTTCTATCTGAACTATTTGCAAAGGTTTAGTTTTCTTCTAATGAGGAAAGAACGCGCTTGACAATAGCATTTGAAAAACTCTCAGATACGCAAAAACTGCAGAAATAAAAACAGAAGGAGAAATTTTATAAAGAAATTTACCTAAATTTTTGATTTTTTTATGTAGAGTTGCCAAAAATTTGAAAGTTGCACTAAAAATCGAGAATTTTTGAAGACATTTGCTCCACAACTTCTAACACAGCTAATCTTCGTTTTGTCTATGATTAGAACTAGCGACTGACAGCATTTTATTATGGTCACAACAGCTAGATAAATTTTTTCATCTTCCCCGTCTCTCCACGAAACACTAGATTGCTCTCGGCGTACTGTATTTTGCTCAAATCTGCCATGACCGCAATTACGGTGTATCTCGACAAACTGAAGAAGTTGAAGGTGAAGGCATTTTGCTCAGATAATCGTACGTACCCAGGCTAAAAGGCAATTTCAAGGCCTTTGAGAACTACAAACACCATTAGGCAAAAAAGGTTTGCCCTTTTGGTCCCGACTGCAGTCACATAGCCTTGACTGACCATCACAAAAAGCCGAAATTGCCTGCTACCTTTCGAATTCGAGACAAAGAGCAAGAACAGAGCAATAAGACTTGTCAGAAGGTCTTTGACACAAAACTGGTGACAACACTGTCTGCAATTTTGAAAAAATTGAAAACCCACGCTCGTCACTGCCATCAGCGCATTGTCGTTTACCATCTTGGAATAAAGCTGGTTCTATACATGTACTTTTATCTTTACATACAAAATAATGAGAAGGGCAGCCTAAATACGAATATTAGTGGTCCAGAACTTCTGATAATTCTTTTCTTACCCTCATCGAGCCCAGAATAGCAGTCTATCTTGCCATCGTTGAGCTTTTTCTTCGAGATACATCGCGGGCTGCCGAAGCCGCAGTCGAGTTGCCAAGGAAGGCATACTGTAACAAATAATCATAAGAACTACTCAGTTAAAAAAAAATAAAAAACACAGCGGGGTGTAAAATATACGGTGAAATCGATTTATAGGCGCAAAGGATGCCACGATATGGCGCCATGATGTGATAAAGTGATGTGAATGAGGAACGTTCAATTGAACATAGTATATTCATTATCAATCATTCAATGACCAGGAGACGCGAGACCGCATTGCACACATTGTCTAAACAAGCCTAATCGTGTACTTAGCAGATTTATACTTGTTATTTATCTCGTCCAGGTTTATTCACTTTTTGGAAACAGGGAAGAACACGCTCAAACATGTCAAGACAATGTCAGTAATGCGGTCACGCGTCTCCTCATAGAATAGATGATATCCACAATCGCTTAGCTTGTTACTATAGGGCAGAAAGTTTTTTTTGGCTTTGGTGGACCACGTGTTAGGCGGTATTTGCCAGCGGTCGTGTATAGAGGATCTCCCAAAAATATGCCCCCATTTGACTGTTGATAACTCTACTGTATTGAAGACTTTGGAGAACCATTACGTACCATTTTGTAAAACTGGCTTCAACTTAGATCTATTAGGTTGTCCGGAAATTAATGCCCGTTTTGAATTTCAACCGCAATAAGTCATACACTCTTCATTTCTAATTAGGTAGCAAAGTACCATTCGATAGAGCAAAGCAAGCTCTACAAGATGGCCGTCTTGCTTTTGCAACAGCTTTGATCCATCTCGAGTTTCGAGCCAAAAACTAAAAAGACTCAGCAGCCCGAAAAATCGAAAAAAATCGTAACTCATTTCATAAAAATTCTACAAAAATTCTAATTTGCTCGCGTAAACACTATATACATAAGACATCAATATACGCCGTTGCCGTATTTTTTTCTCTGTTAGAAACCAAGGAAACGGAAATTTTCGTGCATTTGCCAAAGTGATGCTGTGCCGTCCCCACATAGGTAGTTGTATACCACAAGCCTGAAAAAGTACAGACTTAAATATTCAGCTCTCTACAAGCTTTAGTTCTCGAGAAATTTGAATTTTAGCTTGGACCACTTAAGTAAGGAAAGCTATATCCGGTATTTCTTGAGAACTAAAGCTTGTAGAGAGCTGGAAATTTGAGTCTGTACTTCTACAGACTTGTGGTATACAACTACCTATGCGGGGACGGCACAGCATCACTTTGGCAAATGCACGAAAATTTCCGTTTCCTTGGTTTCTAACAGAGAAAAAAATACGGCAACGGCATATATTGATGTCTTATGTGGATAGTGTTTACGCAAGCAAATTAGAAGTTTTGTAGGATTTTTATGAACTGAGTTACGATTTTTTTCGATTTTTCGGACTGGTGAGTCTTTTTAGTTTTTGGCTCGAAACTCGAGATGGATCAAAGCTGTTGCAAAAGCAAGATGACCATCTTGTAGAGCTTGCTTTGCTCTATCGAATGGTACTTTGCAACCCATTTAGAGATGAGAAGTATATGACTTAGCGCGGTTGGAATTTAAAACGGGCATTAATTTCCGGACAACCTAATACAAAATAGACCGAATCCACCCATCTCTCGTCATTATTAATTACGGTAAGAACTACAAGGAAGGTTTTGAGCATGGCATCTATATTTCTATATTTATATACTATATTTATATTATTTATATTATTGTATTTTATTTGTTTCATATTTTGACACATGAAACAAAACTACCTGACAACTCTCACCCTAGGCTAAATGGAGTTGCTGAGTCTGAATATGAATTTTGCATCTCATCATAATGCTTTCTTAGAAATTTATGCCAGGTAAGCAGTAGCAGACGTTATTTTCAATGTTGCTAGAAAGTGTGGTTACACCGTTTAGAATGTTTCACAATTTGGTAAAAAATCGAGTTTTGATCCCGCGTCCACGAATTTTGTAACTATTCAAGATGGCAGCTTTTTTACATTGACGCCCACATGCCGAAAATCTACCGTAGCCTTACAGTAATGAAGAGCGATAGATGATTTGCTTCATACTTGAAATGTGTACGTAATGTACAGCGTAAATCTGTACTATATCTGTATCTGCACTATCTGTACCATCTATACTTCATGCTATACTCTACGATGTAAATCTGAGATAAGGGCAGCTCTATAAAATAATATCCAAGGCTTTTTGGAAGACTTCAGACAGGAAAGATAACATTCAAATAAAGTAATAGGCACATTTCTTGGAATACTCCGTATATGATGATGTAAACAATACAGATTCTATTTTTGGACTCTTTTTCACGGAAGGAAGAAATGCAGGCCTAGGGATGAAAATTTTGCAAATGCGAAACTATAGTTTTGGGAAGCCCCTATCCTCTTCATAAACATCATATCCTTTTCCAACTTTTAACTCTAATTATCTAAAAAATTCACGTTGTATGCTTTAAATCAAAACAGCTAACAAAGGCACCAAAAATTTGATTATGCTGCATAAACACCTCACTCAAAGCTCAACCTAACCTTGCCAGATAGCTTGTGAGGGTTTCTGTACATAATTGGAAGTATGAAAAGTGAGTTTGACATAGCGCACAGATAGAAACTTAAACTGCAACTTCAGCGCTCATGGTAAGAACCAATTATCTTAGCAAGCAAGTCCGTCTTCAAAGCGTACAGAAACCGAAAATATGTTCGAAAAAAAATCTGCAAATTGGCTTTGCTCAAGAAGCACACTTGATCGAACAAGCTGGAGCCATCCGATTTTCAGGTGTAAAAGCCGTGGAGAATTTTTTTCAAAAGAGATCAGTCCAAACACGCGGAACGATTTCGACCTAAGGACCATGAACCTTGCTGCTTATTGCCTAAAAGAATCGTGTAGCATGAGGATCGCTTTTTCAAACACAGTGAAGTGGCTGAGCACCTATGCTTGAAATTCCGAAAAAGTGCTGCTTATACACCCGAAATTAGGGTAAGAAGATCAAGTCAAGTCAGAAGGGCTCTCAACACCGTAATAGGAAAATTCAGCAAGTAAAGATTTATGAGAACATTTCTTACAGTCACTGCTTTACAGAAACAATTTGAGTTATATTGGTTTTTTCTATGACATTCGAAGTGAATATGATATTTTTTCTGGAAAGCTTTTTTTAAAATCCTCGAGGGTTTCATGGATGGGTGTGATTAGTTCCCACATTCCTCCTTTAATTATTTGTTATTATTGCATTCCTCTTATAGTTATTGTTTCATTTGAATCGGCATCAGTTGGATTTTCATACTTTGATTTCTTCATGCGTACATGCAAAATGGAAGTTGAAATGAAAGGAGCGTTGAATGGTTGTCCTAATAATCGCGATTCGTTTTTGTGAGAATTCCCACAGTGTCTATCCCCAGATAAAGGATTTCTTTACGAAGTTTACCTTTGAACCTGTTCCAGAAATCTAGTATGTAAAGAATCATCAGCTCAACTCAAAGATCTTCCAATTGCGGGAAACTGCGGCTGGTCCCGAAGCGAACGCTCTTCCAATAGCATCTTTAAATTGCTCGTTAACTGGTTGTAATACTAATCATAAACCTAAGGGACCCTTGGAGGAACTCTGAAAAAGTTTCCCAGTGAAAGTATCATTTTCATTTCAAATGTCGTAGAAGAAACCAATACAACTCAAATTGTAGGATTGAAATTATGTTTAGAAACAAACAGAGATCTACAGAGGCTCTGTGCTCTGGCTACATAAGCGAATTATTAGAGTGTCCCGTGATTTTTTACCGTTTTTACCCCAAACATCACCATTTCTCGAAAACTGGGGCACCTTCAAAGTTTACAAATACAGGATCGTACTTCTATATGTATGAGCTATATAATCATGTACGTAGGAGGAGCTCGGGATGTCTAGGGGTGGAATTTGCCATTTTACCCCATTCATTTTTTCCTCATTTTAAGCATTTTTAGCCATGGAAAATATACGGAAATAGTGCAATTGGATTTGCGATGTAACAAGCATACGCTAGGACGAATGGGGAATTTTCAAGACATTTTGGGTTGGAGATACAATTTTTGATGAAAAATTTATTTTTGGCTGCTATTAAGTTGCAGCTCAAAACTTCACTTGGAATATGATTTGTGCAGACTTCTAATAGCCATCTTGTGGAGCTTGCTTTGCCCTCTCAAATGATTACTCAAGCCACAACAATTGAAGAAAAGATACAAAAAGACGATGGTTTTAGTAAAAACGGTAAAAAATACCTTAATATCATTTTTCACTTCAAATGTCAAAGTAGGGACTAGTATAGCTCGAAATATAATTATTTCTGAAGAATTAAAGCACGAAATGCAGGACGATACGGATAAAGCGAAATGATAAACGATTCACTAAGAGTAAAGAAGTCCTTTATAACTTTCAAACTTTTCATTGAGGGAAACGTTCTGTCCTAGGAGTTTATGCATATATTTTTCATTTAATAATAGATAACCGCGAGCATCAAAGTGACAAAAAAGGTCCGCTTTTTGCCTCTGATCTTCTATAGTACCTTTTTATTTGTACATCCTGCATGCTCAAAGGCATGCCATAAAACTTGCGCATAAACTTAAATACGAAAAGACATCTTCTCACAGAAAGAAGAGGTTGAAGCTAATAAAAAGAACCGGTTATCTGTTCAGAGGTTTAGTCTGAACGATATCTAGGCTTTAGAAAATTCTTTGAAAGGCTATGTACGTGATTTGTACCAAAAATCAACATTTACCAGTGCCCAGACCATTCTAAGCTTCATCTCTGATATGACTTAAGTCGGGGCAGATTTTCTGAAGCATTTATTTCCCAAAATAAAGGCTCTGACCCCGGTTCTATAAGCAAGTTACTCCCAGAACTTCTAAATTGCTCATGCCGCGCATCTGGCATAGCAAACGGAATCATCTGCTCTGACCTGGTCTGAAGACCTACTTCAAAACCAGCGCAAACTTAATAACGGAATAATAGTAGTATAATTACCACTCTACTTTCCTCTATACCGTTCCCCCCCCTCCTTTCTCGCTTCCCCCTACCTCCTTCATCGGGA